CGGCAGGCAGAGGAACAGGGAGAAGCAGGCTGCTGCTGAGCAGGGAGCCTGATGCAAGTCTCCATCCCAGGACTATAGGATCATGACCTGAGCCGAAGGCAGATGCTTAACTGACTGAGCCACCCAGGCTCTCCACTAATTATGCATTTAGAGAAAATTAGGATATAAAGTCTACCTCAAGGAAAATGTACACAAAAATGCACACATTATACATATACACCACTAGTAGCTTTAAAAAGGAGCTAACTGTAAAAGAAAACTATATTTATATTGGAAGGAAATATAGGCAAAACTATTCCAGTAAATGTGGGATGTACAGACTGTTCTAAATAAATAAAAATATAAAAGTTCAGTAGAAAACATTGACAAAAATACTTAAAGAAAAATTAAATTACAGATTGATCAAATATATCACACTCCTCCAAAAAAACAAGGGTCAAGAGAAACCATTGAGCATTTGAGTTCAACATGTGATATTAGCTATATTTCAAGTGCAGCTAATGAGTACCATGTACAAAGTGCAGCAAGTCTATAGATAGAAAATGAACTTGCTATTCTCTCACACAAGTAAAGTAATTTTGGTGAGAGAAGAAACCAGTCCCCACTTCCCCATGTTGTTAAAGTAGGCCAGAGGACAGTTTCCTAAAGGCAGGAGTATGTCCTGAGAAGGAACCTGGGGCAGAGGCTTGCTCACAAGCACCAACACCCACCTCCCTGCTCACACACAAGGCACCTGCCATAGGGGCCCCAGTGAGCTGAGGGCCCCTGAGTGAGTTAGAGTTTCCTGGGAGACAGCTGTGCCTCAGGAGAAGCTTCACACCAGGGAGCCACAGAGGGGATGCTCAGCTGGGTGCATGAGCATCCCAGACATGCCACACAGCAGCATGAGAATGGAGTGATAAATGGTGCTGGGTTAGTCTGTTATCCATTTGGGGGAAGAAGTAAAGTTGGACCACACCTCCCACCTTGCATGAAGGTGAATTCCAAGTAGATCTGTGAGACAACCCTTGAAGTGGAAAAGCGTGAAGGCGAGGGCGGGGCAAGATGGCGGAGGAGTAGGGTCCCCAAGTCACCTGTCCCCACCAACTTACCTAGATAACTTTCAAATCATCCTGAAAACCTACGAATTCGACCTGAGATTTAAAGAGAGAAGAGCTGGAACGCTACAGAGAGAAGAGTTTGCGCTTCTAACAAGTACAACTCGTTTTTAGCCACTCTGCACTGAGCAAAATGACTAGAAAGAAGAACTCACCACAAAAGAATCAGAAACAGTCCTCTCTGCCACAGAGGTACAGAATTTGGATTACAATTCGATGTCAGAGAGCCAATTCAGAAGCACAATTATAAAGCTACTGGTGGCTCTGGAAAAAAAGCATAAAGGATTCAAGAGACTTCATGACTGCAGAATTTAGATCTAATCAGGCAGAAATTAAAAATCAATTAAATGAGATGCAATCCAAACTGGAGGATCTAACGACGAGGGTTACTGAGGGTTATTCATTTAAGACAGGCAGAAACTGAAAGAATATGTGACCACCAAACCGGCTCTGCAAGAAATATTAAGGGGGGACTCTGTAAAAGAAAGAGGAGGACACCCAAAGAAATAATCCACAAAAACAGGGACTGAGTAGGTATTATGATGACACTAAATTCATATCTTTCAATGGTAACTCTGAACGTGAATGGGCTTAACGATCCCATCAAAAGACGCAGGGTTGCAGGGCTTCAGACTGGATAAAAAAGCAAGACCCATCTATTTGCTGTCTACAAGAGACTCATTTTAGACCTAAGGACACCTACAGCCTGAAAATGAAAGGTTGGAGAACCATTTACCATTCAAATGGTCCTCAAGGAAAAGCGTGAAGGCATTAAGAAACCAAACCATATAGGAGGGGCACCTGGGTGGCTGAGTCAATTACGCAGCTGCCCTTAGCCCAGGTCATGATCCCGGTGTCCTGGGATCAAGCCCCCACATCGGGCTCCCTGCTGGATGGGCAGCCTGCTTCTCTCTCTTCAACACTTTTGCTCTCTCTCTCTCATAAATTAATTAATTAATTAATTAATTAATTAATTAATTAATTAAATATTTTTAAAAAGGAAACCCTACAGAAGACTCTTTCTGTAATCAGGGCATGAGGGAGGGCATCCTAAGCCACACACAAAAACAAGAGGCAATAAGGGAAAAGCAGTCTTCCCTCAGGGGGAACAGGAGGCCAGGAGCAAAGAGAGGAGGGAAGTGACAGAGGCTGGGTGGGGTGATGCATGCAGCATGAGTGGCAGACAAGGGATTGATTGGCCAATCCTCTGCAGGACTGTGCTGGACTATAGTGAGGCACCCATCTAAATCCTAGACCAAGGGAGCCCCCAGAAGGGATCCTGGGGCCAGTCATGGCCACAGTGGTCAAATTCTAAGCCGAATGGTGCTGTGGTGGCTTAGACATAGGCTTGGTGAGGGCTGTGCCTATCTGTGGGTGGCACACATCAAAGTGAGGGGATGGTGGTTGAAACCGGGCGAGGAGGCAAAGTTTGAGACTGGATGTATGCGGTGGGAAGCTGGATGTCTGCAACCTCCTGTGTGTGCACTTATTGGGGGCCAGGTGAGTGTGGGGGTTAAATCACAAAATCCCCAGGAGAGGTAGCAAGCTGGGGAGGCACTGGGAGTTAGTGTGCAACCAGTACTTACAGGCACCAAATGTAGATGTCATCAGGAGATGAAAAGAAGCAAAACCAGGTCTTTTCTGGAGCTGGTAGGCAGTCTGTGGGAACTAGGCCCCTCAGAGTGACCCAAGAGGCAGGCTAGGCTGGGGTGGGCCCCATCAGGGCAGGGCACTTCCCCACACAGTGTGACAGCTGCAGCTTTGATGACCTTGTCAAGTGTTTACCATGGAGAAGCCCAAAAAGAATCTGTTAGTTGCAGCAGGCAGGTAGGCAAGTTTGGTGCTTGGTGGTCCCATGCTGTTTCATTTTGAATTAGGTATGGGAGGGGGCACCATGGTCTTCCTGGTGCTGATAGCCTCTCAATGTCTTAATCAGGACCTGACTGGCAGGCCTGCTCCCGAATCCCTTCCACTGGCCCTAGGGCTCCTGCCCTGGCACAGCAACCAACCAAGGGATAAAGGGCAGACCGGGGGCCTGAGCTACCAGACAGGGGAGTGTTTGGGGGAGGGCAGGGCCAACAGATGCACAGGAGGCTCTTGCCTTGGGCCAAGACCACACCCTGGAGGCCCTTGGATGCCAAGGCTTGCCTGTGACAGACAGTTGCTCAGGAGATGAGCAGAAAGTCTCCAAGGCCCTCCCTGGGTTAGAAGTCAGCTGTGGCCTAAAAGTGCCAAGTGCCTGCCTTGGAGATGGAGGACAACTGTGCCAGCACTCAAATGGAGATTTGGCAGAGCACAGAGGAGCAGGGAAGTGCCTGTTAATTTGGGACCCCCAGCCAGGAGGAAGTAGAAAATCTCCTGCCTTTGTGCTGAGGTAAAAGAGGTGTCTGTCGCTGAAGACAGCAAAGACCAAAGCATGCTCCACTGGGACAGGTGAGTGTGGGAGCTGCCTGCAGAGCAAACTGACTGGAAACATTGCCCAGTCCACCTGAGGCTGGCTTGGGAGAAAGGGGTGGTCGCATTAGCAACTCTTAGCAAACATGACAGGACCCAGCAGTCAGCAGAGGAAGCCCAGGGAGGGTGGCACCCAGCGTGTGTGTGTGTGTGTGTGTGTGTGTGTGTGTGTGCGTGCGCGCGCGCGCCCTGCTGGGGGTGTGGCGTCACAGCAACCACAAGTCACATGCTGGCCATCTAAGGTGCCAGTGCCTGGGAAGAGGCAGTGTCCCCACTGCAAGTTAGAAGACTCCCCAGAGATGGTCCTGGGAGCTGGCAGACAACCACCCGCACTTGCTAGTCAGCCCAAAGTGCGGGGCAGATGGGTACAAGCTGAAGAGTTGTGATCTACCCGCAACCCAGACCCAAGGAGAATGGAGGAAAAAATAAGACTATGGTCTGTGTGGAGGAGAGCAGTCAGAGGGCAGAGCACACATACAGTGCTGATGCCCAGGGCACAGGGCTCAGAGCAGCATCCCAGCGAGACAAGGAGAGGGCAATAGGCACAGAGACAGCACTGCCTAAGGGAAGGGAACCTGGCTTTGGTGATGCAGGGACCAAGGGTTGCCGGGAGGGGTCTGGCAGTGCTGGGAGGGGTGGCAGCACGAGTCGTCCGGATCCACAGAGTGGTTCTGTACACAGGGCTGGGTTCCTCCTTTCCTCCAAGTGGTGTCAGGAGCTTGGATGGGGGGAGGGGCAGAGCTGTCTCCCGATGGACCAGCCATAGCCCTGCCAGGAACCCCAGCGTCTGCCTTACCACCCTGATGGGGAGTTCATGGGGAGGGGGGTGCTTCACTGGCCCCTTCTTGGATGTCACTAAAGGTACCGGGGAGAGACCAGAAAGGAGGCTTCCCCAAAGGAAGTGGGGCCAACCCTTCTCACTCTGCCAGGGATTTGGGCTTGGGGCCCCAAGGAAGGGAGTGGGCCTGGAGGTAGGTTTAACAGCTGCTTCGCAGGACAGAGAGAACTATACCACGCAGCAAGGGACAACCGTCATTGCCATTCTTGTGCATTAAATGCACAGAGGTGCACTGCTGAGTGGTCCCCAAGGCTGTGCAGACAAACCCCAAGGATACTGACCTTCTGTCTAGGCTGGCAGTTAAGGAAAGGCATCTTCATCGAGGGATTGCTCTGCTCCAGGCGCCAGAGTCTGAGTCACCTGCTTCACAAGTGCTGTCTCCTTGAGTCCTAATTCCACACAGCCCACCTCTGCTCCCTTGCTTCCGCCCCCAGCCCCCAGCCCTTTCTTGAGGCTTATATTGAGCCATGCAGCCAGCCTCTCCCCCTGCCTCCTAGGAGCACTGAGAAGTATGCACCTGTCAGGGAGCAAGCACCCTACTTAGGTCGCATTGGTTGCATATTTTTGTCTTCCTCTGCATGTAGACTGTAAACTCAAGGACAAGTTCCATGTCTTGCTTTTGTCAATCAAAGCACACAACTTTATTGATGATACATACAAACATAGGCTTGGGTGGGTGAAGTTAAGTCAGTACAGCACAGAGAAAGGCAGTGTACTTTTTGGATCAACGGGTTCACCATCCATCACCTCGCAAAGGAGGAGTAAAGGAAAAAGAATTCAACCTAAGCAGCAACAGATGCATTTTCAGCACGAGCCCGATATGCGTCTGGTCTCCCCAAAACGGTCCAGCTTAGACAGGGAGACCAGCACAGGCAAGGCATCCCTCGCGATGCTCTAATATGATGTTCTGTAGCCACAGCTGGCAGCTGAAAGGATCCCTTTGCCACACGAGGAAGGCCGCAAGGGAGTCACTGACAATGCACGTTGCCTGCAGACTGACTGCAAAACCAAGGAGTCACTCAAAGCTCTGTGAGAACCCTTGCCTGGCCCCTAAGAGTGTGGTCCTCGATTTAGCAAGTGTAACTTTCACCCCATGATGTGGTGATTGGCTAAGGCTGGATCTCCGATGGCATCCACTGCAGATTCTCTGCATGAGAACGACACGAGTGTGTGTTCACCAGAAGGGTTTTGGGTGGATTCGGTTCCATTCTGTTCGAGGTGGCCATTTAAGAGGCCAGGGTTTGGGGGAGAACCTGTCTGTTGGCGTTCCTGATAAAGAGGGACGTGAAGGAGAGCAGCATTTGGGCCCCCAGCAATTCCCCTGCCAAGACAGGCTTTTCAGACAAACCTATCAACAGTTTCAAAACCTGAACCTCAGCACATTCACTTCCCTCTGATATCAAAGGAAACTTCACGTCTGAAACGGACTTGGCAAGCATGTTATTAATAACTGTCATGCTTATTAACAAATTTAATCCGGCCTGCTGCAGAAATGAGTTGCAGCAATGTGACACAGTCTCCCGACACACTTCATTGACGTACATCTTAATCTGGCCCTGATTTTCAACACTTGCATTCAAGTTATCCAGAGCCTTCTGCTTAATAGCAGGGAGGATCGTGTTTCCAACAATGGAGAGGTTGGCCAAATGACTATTGATATCGTGGCTAAATGAAAACCCAGCATCCTTGAGCTGAGCAAACCACATTTTTCCCTGAATGAAAGGATGCCTGGAGAGGTCAAGAATACAACTAAAAGTTGTTATATCTTCAGCGTCACCAAAAAACAGGTAATTTTAGTTGGGGAAAGGTTGATTCTCTTTTATTCATACAGTGTCCTCCTGGGAGGCCCCATGTTCTTACTACGCATGGTTCATTCAGCCTGATACCCTGGACTTATCTTTTCCTAGATCCTTAATTGTCCTCATCTTGCGTGATGTTCCCTGCTCTGCTCATCTTTTAGTGTGGTTTCACCCTTCTCTAATTAGTGAGTAAGCACTTCAGTAAATTCTACCCCTGACCTCCAGATCTGTTTTCACTAAATCACCTACTTGAGCACATCCAACGTATGCAAATCACAGAAGTTCACCCTCTTGCAAATGCTATCTAATTGTGGTGATTGCTAGACGTTCGTTTCCTAGACACAAATTGTGCTAACTGCTATCCAATAGGGCAATGCAAATACATAGATATTTTATCTGAGTTTCCTCAGATGGATATGTCAACACTCAGAATACAAGGATATCAATACCTTTCTTTCCTCACCAAGGGTCTAAATTTTCAAATGTTTCTTCTTTGGCTTTTTCCTCCTTTATATTCATTCCCTCTGCTTCCTCTATACTCATTTCCCCTGTTTCCTCAGAGGTACAACACTGGACTTTTCCAGCACCAAAGTAAGAAGGAAGGAGACCAAAGGCTGGGAGAGGAAGATTCTGAGTTACCTCTGGACCTTGTATCCTGACTTGGATATCTCTACCCTCCACTGGTTATCTCCAGGATATCACACTCTATAGAGCAATTTCCTTCCTTCCTTGCCTAAATTTATGTCTACAGTTAAGCAAGAGAGAATGGGGATCGGTAGATGTACTAGCACATAAGTGCCCTCTCCCTAGAGTGAGAAATCTAGTTTTCAAATGTCTCCTATTTAGATCTCAGGCACACCCTCCACCCTGTGTTCCAAACACTTTTATCACCCCACCCCACTCTCACCCCCAAATGCTTACTTTTTCCATTTCCTTGCCCTCCAGCCTCTCTCTTGACCTCGTTTATCTCCCTTCATATGCCCACCTTCCCCTCATTTTTGCCCCATTGATTTTGTTGCTGCTTCTTTCAGAGCCAAAAAGGATTGAGATTAAGCATTGCTTTTTTTTTTTTTTTTGAAGACAGACAGGGTTGGGTTGAGGAATGGGCTCTGGTTGCAAGTTTGCCTCTACCACCCCCCTGTGGCAGTTCAAACTCCAGATTTCCTTGAAGAAACACTTTAGTTTTTACTGTTTCATAGCCTTTTTCTCTTTCTTTCCCTTGAGATGTGCTGCCCTCTACAGACAAACAAGGAAACCAAAAGATAGCGGTTGGTGAAGATTTAGTTCTGGGTGGGAAACCACAATTCTTAGCTTTTATGGATTCAGGACTCTGTCAAATGATTCTCACTTTTCTTTTTTTTAAGATTTTATTTATTTATTCATGAGAGACACACAGAGAGAGGCAGAGACACAGGCAGAGGGAGATGCAGGCTCCCTGTTGGGAGCCTGATGTGGGACTCGATTCCAGGACCCCAGGATCATGACCTGAGCCAAAGGCAGACGCTCAACCACTGAACCACCTAGGTGCTCCCAATTCTCACCTTTCACTCTTGTATTCCAGCATCAACTCTCCCCATGACCCCGTCCATCATCTAGAGAACTAAAATGAACTAGTGGGTAACCTGGGGGTGTAGGGAAACCCGACTCTACCCCTTCAGGTCTCTGCCTCAAACCCCACCCTGACCCCAAGATTCCCCAGATAATGTTCATTCTCACACCAACCCGAACACAACCAGAAAATTTTCTTCCTTCCTCACTCAGCTATGAACACATCTCTCTAAGTTAGACAGGGAGCTGATGGAAAGACCAAAAAGACCACCTCTTCACAATTCTTGGTAACCTGAAATACACATCACCAATGAGCTATGATCCCCTTCCACCCAAGTTCCCCTTCCACCATCAGTGATTCAAGAGTGTGCCCACTTCTCACCCTTCCCCTAGTGCATCAGACCTGTCATCCATTTTTTATTTGCCACTCTTAAAAGCCAAAAGAAAATACATTTCCATTGTGTTAAGATTTGTCTTTCTCTAATTTTCAGGGGAAAAAATTATCTTCTCATGGAGCAACTATTTATACTTTTTTTCTTCTTCTAGAATACAGGAAGCAATAAATAGCTCATCTCTTCACTCCCTCTCTGCTCAGCCACTAATATCCATCATGTCTCTTGGATCCAGGAAAAAGCAGATTTCATGAAATAAGGCATGAAAGGGAAATTTGAAATATTTATTTATTGTCTCCACTCATGTGTCTTGGAAATACTAGATTTTTAAAAATATTTGTACATGATTTCATGTGTTTAGGGAGTTTTTTTGTGGTGACTTTTGTCAAAATGACAAAACTGGTTATTGCTGAGGATAAGATTTAAGACAAAACACATTTTAGCTGCAGTGCCAACTGTTAAGGTCAATAGGACACAGAGATAAACAAATCTGTCTCTTGGGCAAGATCACCTGGCTTTCCAGATAGACCCACACAAGGCAGCATTTACCTTGCTTAGTTTGCTACACTCCAGGCCCCAAATCTTAATTTTGTCTTCAGTCCAAAAATATGCACAACTGATGACCTTACACACAACAGAAATGCATGCATATGTTCACCAAAAGACATATATAAGGATGTAGCACTATTCATAATAGCCCCAAACTGGAAATATTCCAAATATCCATCAATAGTAGAATAAATAAATAAGATACATTATATTCATAAATAGGATTTATATTCATAAATGGCAATGAATATCATACATGCAACAATATGGATTAACCTCACAGACTATGTTAGCAAAAAAAGATACAAAAGAATATATACCATGTGATTGTACTTACATAAAGTTTAAAGAACACACAAAAAATTAATCTATGGTGTTAGAAATCTGAATAGTGGTTACCCTTGGGATGTGTTATTGGCTAGATAGGGGGATGGAGGAAGCTTCCACTATGAGGTTAATTTTTTGTTTCTTGCTCATTTTATGTATATTTACTGAGATGGACACTTAAGATTTGTAGAATTCGTTGTATATTTGGTATACTTTAACAAAAATTTACCAAAAGGCCTCAATGGTGAGTTACAGAAATGGGAGATGAGTAAATGAAACCAATCTTCCTGCTGATCTAGGTACCTAGAACCAAACATATTTTTTGACTTCCCTGAGGGCACTAGAAGGCTAACAAGATAGTTAGGACTAACTGGATCAGAATAGGATTGGGGGAACTTGAGCTTTAATGTAAGGTCACTTTTCCCAGTGTACAGTTGTTGAGAGGCTAGGCAGAATTTTGGACAGCCTCTGAAGGCTAGGGAGACAGATATTGTAATCAAAATCTTGCCTAGAGGTGAACCTGATAAAGCCCAGTGTCTTTTAGATTGTGATGTTGAAAAAGCTGCACCTCAGAGTCAGAATTAACAAGAGGTAGACAAGCTGTCACAAGTATATCAGTTTAATTTTTAATAATCTCAATCACTGGAAAGTAGAATAAGCTAATCACAGAGTGCTAACACTCCTACATGCCTAACAGCACAAATATAAATTTTCTTTGGAGGGAAAAGATGTCATTCTCAAATTATTTCTGAAGTTTTATAAAATACAATATTTGACACATAATAGAGAACAAACAAATACACAAGAAGACAGGACAAAATTAACAGAAATCATCAGAAATGATAGACAATAGAAAAAGACTCATTGGGGCCTCAGATATTAGAGTTGTCAGACATAGATTTTAAATAAATACACTTACTATGTTTAAGGACATAAAGCACAATATAGAGGATTTTTACAGATAAATGGAAACTATAGGGCAGCCCGGGTGGATCAGCGGTTTAGCACCGCCTTCGGCCCCGGGGCGTGATCCTGGAGACCCTGGATCGAGTCCCATGTCAGGCTCCCTGCGTGGAGCCTGCTTCTCCCTCTGCCTGTGTCTGCCTCTCTCTCTCTCTCTCTCTCTCTCTCTCTCTCTCTCTCTCTCTGTGTGTGTGTGTGTGTCTCTCATGAGTGAATAAATAAAATCTTTTAAAAAATGGAAACTATAAAAAAGCATAAAACAGAAATTCTATGGGAATCCCTGGGTGGCTCAGTGGTTTAGCGTCTGCCTTTGGCCCAGAGCATGATCCTGGAGTCCCGGGATCAAGTCCCGCATCGGGTTCCCTGCATGGAGCCTGCTTCTCCCTCTGCCTGTGTCTCCGCCTCTCCCTCTCTCTGTGTCTCTCATGAATAAATAAATAAACTTTTTTTAAAAAAAAGAAATTATAGGGGATCCCTGGGTGGCGCAGCGGTTTAGTCCTGCCTTTGGCCCAGGGCGCGATCCTGGAGACCCGGGATCGAGTCCCAAGTCGGGCTCCCGGTGCATGGAGCCTGCTTCTCCCTCTGCCTGTGTCTGCCTCTCTGTGTGTGTGTGTGTGACTATCATAAATAAATAATTTTTTAAAAAAAATCTAGAACTCAGAACCAACTAGACAGCCAGGTTTTGATGGGCTAATATCCTGGAGAAAAGAAAATTACAAAGAAATTAAATGAGCAGTCTGAGTTAATTTTCTCCTTTACGCATTCACCAGTTCTTAATAGGTATAGAACTAGAAGTAAAGAAGCCAAGTAGAAAGAGGCAATTGAGAGACTGGGAAGATAAAGCTTTGGCAGCTTCAAAGTACAGAGAAAAATTTTAAAAATGGAGTTTGGGGACTTCCAAGATTGAGGGAACTGATAAATTCCCCAGGTTGTCAGAACCCCTGAAGGATTACACCTTAGAAGTAAGAGTGAACTGGAAATAGAATAGATCTGACAAAGATTGAAATCCAACCTCAAAATAGTTCAATTCTTCATTCACTTAAGCTAATTTACTCTTATACTGCCTTTGCAAAGCAAAAGAAAATCCTCTACAAATAAAGAAAATGTCATCTCAATTTTCTAGAATTTTCATCCATGTTCAACATTCAAACCGAACCATACCAAGAGACATGACAAATGGAAATTATTTTTAAAAGGAGAAAAAGAAACCAAGAGAAAAAAAATAGACAAAAGAAATAGACCTATAGGAGATAAAGCTATTGGATGTATCAAGCATAGACTATTTTTTGAAGATCTTATTTATTTATTCATGAGAGAGCGGCAGAGACATAGGCAGAGGGAGAAACAGGCTCCCTGTGGCAAGCCTGATGCGGGACTCGATCCTAGGACCCCAGGATCATGCCCTGAGCTGAAGGCAGCCACTCAACCGCTGAGCCACCCAGGCATCCCACAGACTTTGAAAGGAAGGGGAGGTGGGCTGGGGGATGGGGTGACTGGGTGACAGGCACTGAGGGGGGCACTTGACAGGATGAGCACTAGGTGTTATACATTGGCAAATTGAACTCCAATAGAAAAATATACCAAAAAAATTAAAATTATGATTAATATGTTCAAGAAAATAGATAACAAGGTGGACAATTTCACCCACAAACTGAAATGGGGGAGGAAGGAATAAATGGAAATTTTAAAACTAAAAAATGTAATAGCGACTTTGACTTTCAGCTCCAACATGTAAAGAGCTTGGAAGTCCTCACCACCCTCCTCACAATAAGAAAAAATGCTGAACAGATAGAAAATCAACAACTTTTCTAAGATCTGTCAGAGAACTGAGGTGGTAGGGCAAACCAACACTCCCAAAATCTGGAGATATAGGCAGAATCACAGGTAAGGTGAACTTCCTTGAAGCACAAGTCTCTGGGGCCAATAACTACTTAGAACACTTAAGTGATGGGGCACCTGGATGGCTCAAGGGTTGAGCACCTGCCTTTGGCTCAGGTATTGATCCCAGGGTCCTTGGGACTGAGTCCCGAGTCCGCATCGGGATCCTTGCAGGGAGCCCACTTCTTCCTCTGCCTATGTCTCTGCCTCCCTCTCTGTGTCTCTCATGAATAAATAAAATCTTATTTATTTATTCATGTGTGTGTGTCTCATGAATAAATAAATAAATAAATAAATAAATAAATAATAAGATTTTATTTATTCATGAGACACACACCCACACACAGAGAGAGAGAGGCAGAGACACAGGCCGAGGGAGAAACAAGCTCCATGCAGATCCTGGGTCTCCAGGATCACGCCCTGTGCTGAAGGCAGCACTAAACCGCGGAGCCATCCGGGATGCTCATGAATAAAATCTTTTTTAAAAAAGGACACTTAAGTGATAAATTTGATGAACTGCTAGACGCTGAGTGTGTACTAACTTAAGAGTGCAAATTCATGGCTGAGCATTTGGGGGGGGGCACACATTCACTGATTTTACTTCAAGGAACCCCAACAGATTCTCACAGCAAAAATTAGAGGAAAAACCTCCTCCTGTTTCTGGGAGGGGAAGGAAAAAATAACCATTTTGAATTGTGGCCAGCGGAAAAGTAACCATGCTGAAATATGTCCAGAGAGTTTTTCATAACAAGGCTGTTCTGAAAGAGAAGCTACTTTTTCTTATCTGTTCCAGGAGGAAAAACAACTGGCCAGCTCCAGCCCCATTCTAGTCTTCCTGTTTCATGTAAAGGGGGAGAAAAAGTACCATTAATCAACTGGATCTAAATTGACATTTGTAGAATACTTC